CCCTAAAAACAGCCCTTTTCTATTTCCCATACAAACGTTTTTTTTGACATTAGATTTGACAACTAACTAATATGTCAATCATTCTGTTTGATTGAAACAGGAAAAATCTGATTAATTATGGCTTCTACGATGGAATACAGTTCGCCTGGTCAGCTATACCTAAATATATTAGTCTTGACCAAACTAACGTGGACGAAGTCGCGGGCAAAACCTAGTTTAGAATATTTTTTGACTGACCATTTCATATAGTATACTAAAAATTAAATTTGTGTTGTCATATGAAAAAAACCTTTATTTTAATAATCAATATATTTTTTATATGGCAATACAAAATTAATAAAACTTAAGCTGTATACTCAAAATCATTGTCTGGTTTTGTAACGTTAAATTAAAAAAAAACCAAATGTCATCTGTCGTGAATATTGTAAACATGTAACATATTAATCGTAGGTCAGATGTATGTAGGTTAGGCGTTCAGTGTGGGCGGAGCCGGGTTATGTACTGGGGCGCTTTGATACGCACTACATTATTATAAACATTGCGTTTTTTTTCAATTAAAATTACTTTCATAGCTCTCAAGATGTTTAGAAATGTTTTCAAGATGGCCGACTGTTTTTTTAGTTTTAAATATTTATGGTGGAAATAATTTTGTCATTAATATTTGTGTTTTTAATTTTCAACGACATGTTTACTGTAATTTTTCAATATAATGCGTTAAGTTTTTTGTTGGTTCTACATCGAAATTTAGTGTAATTTTCGGTGGTTAAGAAAATCGATTATATAATGGATGTGGTCAAATTATTTGTATTACGTATGACAAAGATATTGTCCTAACGGTTTCTAAGGACAAAATTAGAATGCTTGGGTTATGTGGTTCGGGGAGGGACTTGTTAACGCTGCATGCCTTCAACGCGTTAGGGAAGTCTCTAATGAACTGAATGTACCTCAGACTAACTTAGATTTTACTAGCTATGGACCGTGGTTTGCTTGTCTATATTCATATTGACATTGCTCTATATTAGTCTTACATATTATTTTTTACTTGCATTTATATATTTTTAATTTTAATGTAATTTAAATATACACGACAACCTCTTTGGTTATTATAAAATTTTCTGTGTTCCACGTACCGTGTCAAACAAGCAACAATTTCTAAAAGGTAAACATAGTAATGAAGCCCTGGGTTTTTAAAAGCAAAAATATTTTTTTTTAAATATGTGTTAAAAGCACTTCAAGTCAAGCATTATGCTTGGGGCCCGGGGCGCGGAACTGCGTACGTATGCGTGGGCACGCGCGATTTTACCACCGCATTGAACTGAACGCACCACTTACTCGCACTGCTTTACTTAATGGCGAGAGCTCTGTGTATGAAAAAAATCCTTTAATTTATGATATTATTAAAAAAAAATCGGCTGTATATTTTAAACTTAAAGACTTTTATTGTGACATAAAAAATAGCTCCTGTTAGACTGACCTGTCATCTCCAATATAGAGTTATCAAAGATTTTTGAAATATATTTTAGCAATATAACGCGGAGTATTCCGTGTCGCATTTAATGCGTGGTAGGGGTGCATCGACGCACCCCTCACGCACTTACACACACACATACAAGCAGTGCACCTATATTATGAAACTAGAGCGTGATTGGTCGAGATGTTTGCATGTGTGCGTAACTGTTTGGTTGTAGAAAAGAGGTCGTATAGATAAAGTTATTTATATCTGCGCGTTCTAGGCTATATGAATTAGTTGCGTGCATTGGGGTAGTCTTCGCTAGGAAAAAGTATTGATTTGTTGCTTGGTCGAAGAGTGCTATGGAGCTTTTGCTGTTTAAGATAATGCAATAATAATATGCATTTTAAAAGAATTAATACGTCGCATCACAATGTAGGAGCTTGTGTAACGTTAACTCGTGATTGATATGCAAAACCGGTTGGGAACGACTGCATATCAGTAATTTTTTTGTTGCCGTACACATGAATGGACAGAAGTTTAATTCTTCTTTCAACTTTTATTATGAAGCGACAATAGATTCTTTATTCGATGCAAGTTTATACAGCCGCCATCTTGCCGTGACGGGTTTATGAGAATAAAAGATTTTTTTTTTAACATAAAATCTATTCTTAAAATAAATTATAATATTCCCATAGGTATATACATACATAATGATTTCGGATAGTTAATTCACTTTAATTTAAATATATGCGACGATATAATAGAAAAAAAAATCAGTCTTACTTAAATAATATTAAGAATATTTGAATAAAGTAAACAGTGAAAAAAAAATCATTAAATTAATTGAAATACACCGAAGCTGTTACGAAAGGACTGATATAGATAAAAAAACATTACGTCGGCTGAATGCAAGATGCATTAACGTTACATCAGCTGATAGTACAAAAACGGACCATCTGCTGTTGAATCACCGGCTCTTGGCGCGTGCCGTGAAAAAAAAAATCAAACCGTTATACTCTGTGGACCCACGTGGCCTCGGCTTGGACCCCTTGGTTCGAAATTCGAATCACGATATATTTTTTTTGGTCAATGTCACCGCGAATACAGTTACATTTTTATAGTCTGTATTAGTATTTTTTTCTTGTATCCAATATCTGTAATGGCGAAATTATTTTCTTATATATTTAGCCAGACTATTGTATTATAAGTTAATTATAACAAAAGCAATAAAATGATATCACATACTATTATTTTTGCCATATTTTTTCTATAAATATCATTGGCGTAGCATAATGTTATTAGAGCGGAGTAATCCGACGATATAAAGTATGGATAGTGACTAATAAATCCACTTTAATTTCAAGATGTCGCGACGATATTCGTGCCATTAATTTGGATGAGAAGAACGAAAAAAAAAAATCGTCGATTACAGTAAATGTATGAATAATTCGCAAAACAAAAAAGCCATTAAAATCAGCGATAAAAGCAGTGGATTTATAACAAACTTTCTTGGAAATGTTTATCGCTATATTGTTTTCCAAGTTTTTGAGAATAAAAAAACTCTCATTTACATTTAATCAAGACTATTTTTTTGTTATATCGATTCTGAATTATCATCTTACTCATTAAAATATATATAACATTGGCTGTATGTAAAGTATCGTATATATATATTTTTTGAGAACATTGATCGAAAATTTTGATGTAACGTAGATTTAAAGAACATCAAAATGGTATACAATCGTAACATCTGCCACACACCTTTATTATCCGTGATAAAGATTCTAGTATCGCTATGATTGGAACAGCTGCGGGCCACGAGCGGCTCAATGTGGACACATCACAAAGGTTTAAGGCTACATATCATATTATTATTAATAATAAGTTGATTTTAAACAAACATATCATATATTTAACATGTGAATTCTCTTATTTATAGTATACTAGCTTTTTAGCAGCTTCGCCCGCGTGGAGAAGAACGAGAGAACCTTTCAAAAGTCTGGGATAAAAACTATCCTATGTTCTTTCACAAGGTCAACTCTATGTCTGTACCAAATTTCATTTAAATCAGTTCAGTGGTTTAGCCGTGAAAGCGTAACAGACAGACAGACAGAGTTACTTTCACATTTATAATATTAGTAGGGATTTATGATGTGAATTCTCTTCTTTATAGTATATCAAAGCTAAAATGATTCCTAGTAAAGGGATTAGATTGTTTATTTTAATGAGAACGCTAGAAAAAAATCTGAGGTACCATGATAGAATAATTAGTTTAAAAGTAGGCTTCAAATAAAGGTGATTCAGTACAGAACAAGGCCTCCCTCCCGAGCTGAGCTTTACGGCGGTTGTTTTAAAACTAATTTGCTAAGTTTAAGTTACTTCGCAGCCCTTAACTTATAATCGTAAATTAAGTCAAGTAGCTACCTACTATGGAGTTTCAGACGAAACTTTAGCTTTGGAATCTGCTTTATATTAATTATTATATGATATTTCATTGTGTGACACATATGATTATCGTGTACTATTGTTTGTTAAATTCGATTTAAAACAACCAGAAATTTCTTACGTTCAAAGTAATGTATAAATTTCTTTCATCACATAATTTTTCTGTATTGTGTATTCAAAAATCACGATTATTGAACATTATTTCATCAAATAAAGATGTCTGAGACTTAACTTTTGTAATTTATCTATTTATATAACTATAATTGCATTTCTAATTCTTATTTTTTTTATACCAATTTGGAAATAAATGAATGTTGAAAAGAAATTGCCTGCGATTTTTCATGGGCTATTAACTTTGCAGTTGTTTTTATTACAGTTTTATGGAAATACCGGCCTTTGTTTTGAATTTTGATTCGTATACATTATTACCGTTGTCGCTTAGTTTTGCGGTATCTTAAAAAAAAAGTAATAGATTATAAAAAATACATTGTTAAAAAGTCATAATGAGAAAACAAAAAAGGAGACTTAATTTAAATAAAATATATTTTAACAGATCTAATCTAAATATTAAGCATATGTATGTATATGCATAACGTTTGTTTTCATAAGTTTTTGACACAACGCTCCCGCCATTACACAAAGCACGAAAACGTTGACAAGATGGCGCTAATCTATGCAGGCGAATAAATTAATGCAAATACCTCGTAAATAAGTCATACAAGTCTTTGCGTCATTCACAAATAGATTCCTTTTTTTACGGATACAAGTGTTTTTTAACCGAAACTGTTTTCAAAATATGTAGATATAGTTTTTTTGGTTTTATTCAAAACAGTCAATCCTGTCAGTAATGCCTGTTTGTAATGCTGCAGCGGGATTTTTAACTCGTTTGCGGAAGTGTTTAAATTTGTTAGCGACGCAAAATACTTGGCTCTTCAGATTTCGCTTTTTATATATTTCATTATCTGTGACATTGACAACGTCACAGCTGTCAAAGTCATTAAATGAAATAATCGTGTGTGACATTGGCAGAATGTAATTATCCTTTTGCTGCTATGCTTAATTATGATTACGTAATTAATGGTAATTATTAATTAATGCTTACCTTCTTCTCCGTCAGTTTCTCGCATCTTCTCTGCTTGCATATCTGATGTGACTTGTCGTTCCTGCACGGAGCGCAGTCACCACAGTTGTCTTTCCGCTGGCAGCCTATACACTCGCCACATCTTTTTCTTTTCTTTTTAGTCTGCGACGAAAAGAACTAATATTAAGTCAATTTTGTTAGTCTTTAACAGCATTTGTACTGTTTGTTTTTTATATAATAATGCAGTAATCGCTCCCTAATCTCACTGTTAGCGTTTGCGAACCTTCCGAACACAAAGAATGCAATTATTTCTCAGACAACAATTCGGGAGTATTTTGAACTCGTTAATAATTCGTCTGGGTCATGCGCTGCGTTCGATCGTGACGGCTGTGTGAGTGATAATTTACAAAACTTTTAAGTTATTTAATTAGAAATTACGATGGCATATGTTTAACGAGGTTATTAACTGTTGACTGTTATGTTATTACTAATAATACAATTCTCAATTACAATTTTATTTAATACAATGTCCATATCAACATTTGAAATAAAAAAAATGAATGCATATTTTATTTTGATCTTCATAATAGTAGACATATTTTTTATACTTAATAATATCCAAACCCATAAACAATAGAATAACTAGTTTTTTTTTTAATTTAATATATTAAGAAGGATCTAATTGAGCTATAACCATAAACTCTAACATCTGTTTGATATATATTCTATATTTTATTCGCATAACAACTGGCTCTTGTCAAGATCAAAATCATACGAACAGCTGACGTAGGATATGGTAGTATAACTTTTTTTTTATTACGAATTCGGCAACGAACAAACGCATTTCATACTCATTATTGAACATTCCACAGACGGCAATAATGTGTAGAATAATTCTAATAAAATTTATAATATTCATTAATTTAGTTGCAATATAATAAATAATTGCTAGAAATAAAATATAAACTATAATTCAAATAATAATTTCCAACCGCTATCAATATTTTTTTTCTTTGTATCTGACAGATGTAAAGAACATCGTGTTGTTAGAAAATTCTTATTCTAATTAAATACTTCTAACGCCATGTGTGCATTAATGTTTTTGATAATGGCAATACAAAACTAATAACTGTGTATAATTTAACTGACATATATAAATGAAAACAAATATAACTCTTAATAATGATGTTTGAAAAAGTTATTATTTCTTGAGATATAGATTAAATAGACTTTTGACATTATGAATTACAGATAATAAATAATTTTAATGTATTATATCGTCTGTTTTAGTTGTGTGTTTCGTGTTTTGTTTCTAGGAAACTTTCGCATTGGATTTCCCCGCTTTGAGTCACACGTAATCAGCAATTGAAATATACCGCCTATTACCGAAATATAAAGATCTCATTCTCGCAAAGGCTGTCGTTTGTCAAATAATCCAATTTATATTCAGGTAAGTGTATTCTCGTAATAAATTCTTTTGCTTTCCAATGAATGTTGCCAGTGAAAAAAAAAATTAAATTATACCATTTAAATTTCCCAGACAGATATTTAAGTATTCGCTCGGAAATTCGATACAGCAGACCAAAGAACGGGTTTTCAGCTTATTAAAATGTAATTTTCTGATAACATTCGCGTGCGTCTAATGATTCAGATATAATCTCAACATCACTCACTTTATAATAGAACAGTAATAAGATTAATACACAAACACGTACATACACCTCAGCGATTTAATATTGATCACTCTGTAATATATATAGTCTGTTTGAATTCAATTTGTTGACTAGCATCTAAAGAGAGCAGTAAAAAGTGTAAAATAATTGGTATAAAAGCAGCTGTTTCAAAGGTGTTCATTATTAGACAAGGAAACGCTGACATTTTGAAAGGAATGCCACTGTATATTGAACCTTTTCTAGAACTTAGATGTTTTTTTTCATTATGATTTCTCAAACACGACAATTGCATGTAATCGACGCATACTATTCTATTTTATTGGCTGCCATGTTGTATGTACGTTATATGAACTGTCATAATAATAAAAATATTATATTTATTTGTTAATTATCCTTAGAAACTTAAGATATTTAATGTATGCTATTCAGTTATTATATTAAAATAAGTCATTAGAGCCACTTGTTATGGAAATCGTTTTTGTTAATTAATTAAGTTTTTTGTTTTTTTTTTAAATTATAACATAAATTTAAATTAAAAATATTAATAACTATTGAAGCTTCTTAATTACTGTTAATATGTTCAAATGAAACTCCCAGTTTGTAAGCGCGACACGCGTAAATCGCCCGACTTTAATTTGTGTTTTAAACGAGAGAGGAAGTTAATTTATTGGAGGAACAAGCAAATCGGCTAACTATTAAATTTATAGCCGCGAAGACAGAGAGTTCGGCCGTTAGGAGGCTCGGAACGGAGAATAAAAACTGCTCCCGAATAATAAAAGGTGAAATTACTGGAAAAGTTTTTCTTTTTAGAATTCCCCCGAATATGTTCCACGGTTCAGCGTCGCCATGTAGTCGAATAAAATTCAGAGAATTCTCATATATTTTGTCGAATATTCGCTTTTCGCAATCCCCCGGCGTCTTGTTTACGCAATTTACCAATTCGCGGAAAGAGACGTTGGCTGTCGGTTTGATTTTGTACCGTGTTTAAGGGATTTTTAATTCAAGTTAGTGACGGAAACCTTCTTTGGGGGGATGAAGTTTACTTGTGAGATTTAGGGAACAAAACTATAAGAGACTCACCTGTTTTTCGCTGGATATGTCGTCTAGTTCCATGGGTCCGGTGTTCATGGGCGGCGCGCCGTGCATCGGGGACTTAAACCCTGCTGTTGAAGACACCGCCGCCACCTGCCCACTACTCTCTGACCCCATCTCCATATTAGAACAGTCTGACTCCGAACTATTCGCTCTCATTTTCCGTCTCTCCTTTTTCCTGAAGTCCGACCTGGTCGGTGATGAGCCACTCCCGAAACCGTTCACTTTCTTCTCGTAACTATTGTCGATTAACATCGGATTTTGGAAATTACTGTGATGCAGCCCGTTCGGCGTGTACTTGTCTTGTAATGATTTCATATCGAACGGCTCGTTTTTCAATACATGAACGACTGTTGGACTTTGGATGTTCTGTATTAAGCTACCGTTCTGATGTAGAAGCGCCCCATTCTGATGCAGTATACCATTCTGGGTCGGGAATGCGTTAATCGTTGCGATGTTCGGCTGGTACAGCTGTATGTGTCGGTCGTCGATGTACGCTTGGCCCGTCGGTGCTAGCTCTCTGGCTTGTAAGGGCGCCGGAACGATGGGGTAACTCCGAGCATTCACAGCGGTCAGAGTGTGGAATGTGGTGGCATTGACCGGTGAGAGGGTAGTCAAAGTACTGGACAAGGGCGCCACCTGGGCCAAGGTGGTCAAATGTGCTGGCGACGAAGGCGTCGTTAGTTGCGTGAGCTGGGTTAACTGACTAGGACTCGCGCTGGGTGTGGGGCTCGTTGTGACAGGGACTGGCGTCACACTCGGCAGACCGGTCTCCGGTATGACTGTGGTCTCCGGGAACGTCTGGAACTGGCTTTGGAAGGACGGTAGCTTGTTCGGTATCGGTTGTAAGGTGATCGACTGGTATTCGAGGGGTGATGAGAAGCCCGCCCGTAGTATAGCGTCCTTGGAGTTGACCGTGATGGGCATGGACTCCCAGGGCCGGTACTGCGGCTGGCTGGCGATGACGGAGACCGTGTCCCCGGTCCTCTCGTAGTACTCCCAGGCGGGGTCCAGCAGCCGCGCGTCGGCCGCGAGGAGCCTCTGCTCGTTCTCCGCCATGTCTCCGAAGCTCGAGAAGGGCGGTAGGTGCGCGCTGTCCGCGCCCGCCTCGCTCCTGAGCGTGTCGCTCATGTTTTCACGCGCCGCAGCCTCATCCCGTCACTCTTAACACTTCTACCTTAATAATATAAGCTCTACTAAGTCTATATACGTTGTACTGAACACTCTCGACTGATCTGGAACTTGATAATTTGTACTCTTCGAACTGGCTTCGTTATGTCCACCTTATACTAAATAGCACTTAATTAACGATTATACGGCACACCGGTTAACACTACACTAATCACAATATATTCGTTATCTCACTATCAAATAAATTATATAAAAAGTCCTTAACAACAGGCAGATAACTTATTCGAGTCTTAATAAACTACTTATAAAAATCTTTGGCTGACTTTTTTTTAGAGAATGCTCGAGGAATTGGTACGTTTTTTAAATTATTATTTTTCTTTAACTATTAATAAAATCTTTTGTGCACTCGTTCAACGATCTATTATTATTTTGGAACGTTAAAATACTGGTCGTTGATAGTTTTTTCTTCGTAATTTTTCTTCAAGGCTTCTCTTATTGTAAATACCGATCATTTCAGACTTAAATTAATTTGTACTGTTTGGGAGTTAGCGTATACTATTTTGTCGTAAATTTTATCGTTAAAAGGTTTTAAAAAATAGTGCTTATATAAAAATTTTTTTGAAACGAAAGATATGACTGGAGGCTTTGGTTTGAGGCTTGCGTGGCTCTTGGTTGTTCGTCGTTGTGTTGGAGGTGAGGCGAAGGCTGGCGGGGGCTATCCGTGCGGCCTGCACCAATCTACAAAAAAACATTAAAATTAGCACAAAAATACTATAATAGTCACAATAGTAGTTTCTTTTTAAGTTTGGTTAGGTAGAGAGAGGAGCTTGGACAGTAGAAGTGAGCGTTTAACGTGCGTTACATACGGTCCCTTAAACCTACACCAGGGTCACAAGTACCAGTCACTGTTGAAGCTCCTCTCACTACAACGATGGACCCGACACACGCACCGTGAATACATTGAATGTTAAGAGATTTCATATTTTTTATTTAATATATTTCTCAGTTATAATATCCATATATAATTGTTTTTTTTTTTGTTTAGTACACTATATTATTTTGAATGCAAACCTATTTACGAGTTCCCTATCACGCATGCGTACATCGTGTTTTGAACCGTTTCTAAATCGATGGCGCGAACTGAAAATGTTTGTTTTTAATATCTATTTCGGCAGATGTTTTGACAAATGTTATGGATATTTAAGAATGACAAAAAAAAATTTAGTTTACTTCAATATTAGGCTTCTGTTTTACAATATAATAGTGTTGTTCTATGTTATAAATAATATGTAATTTTTTCGTTAATAATTGTCATTATTTCGTCCCATACAACTTTTATCCCAAACTTTTCGGATGTCGTCACATGGCCGTTGTAAACGTTCTATTTATAGCCTTCGTAGTCAACTCTATTTCGGATCTACTATTTTAAGGGAAACTATTTTTAATGGTTACGATTTTAAACCGCCTTTTGACTTATAGCTTTCCTATTTTTAATTGTATTGTTTTTGTTACATTTCTATCTATTTATGGTAAAATATAGAATTATTTATGATATTTGTAAGATTTTATTATATGATGTTATTATGTTATTTATAAATTTTGATCAGAATTATGAATGTTTACAAAAATGTTAGGCTGAAACAATTTTGATATTGACATTAAAACAATTGTCATCGTTCTTAGGTACTTTTATTACATACTTTAATATATACATATATATATGTAAAATATAGTTATTTATATGTTTACTAAAAATATGTCAAAACCCTAGTTTCAGTATACTTAATAATTCCTTTCAATGTCGGCTTCATTCACGAAACTTAACAGAGAATCAAATATGATTATTTTGTTAAGTTTAAAAAGATCCAATGAAGGGAAAGGGTTTTAATTCAACCCAATACAACATAATAAACTAAATATTATAATCGTTATATTTCCATACACAATCAAAAGGATTAAATATATGGATTGCGTCATCGAGTCTTAAAAGTGCGATCAAAATGTCCTGACTAGTAATCACGAGGCGAAACTATTTGTAGATGAGCACAAAGAGCGTTCCTCGAAAAAAAAAAGATTAAAAAGCTCAGTCGAAACGGAACGCAACCTGAGGCGCTAGTGTGCGTGCGTCGTGACTATACGTGACGTGTGCATGTGTGCGTGCGGAGTCGTCTGTGCTGTGTGTGTGTGTGAAAGCGATAGTATCTGGGTCTCGGTTGTCAAGGGCAACCGTACAATCGCTGCAGCGAAAGCATTGCGCTTTCAGCTTTGCGCTGTAATTATACGGCTTATTTTTAGTGGCGGATGTTGTCGCTTTTTTGTACAAAAGCGTTCTGGCGCAACGACCGATGCATGTTTAGATGACGTTCGGAAATCCTTGAATCTTGAACTGAACTTGATGCTACTACGGCTTTCATGGATTCGCTTTTACTACGACTTTGAACATGAATAGTATAGAATTCAAAACTTTACATCGTATTCTTTTATCTTTTATATGTATTGTTTTATATTAATAATAATGCGATCGTGTGTGAATGATTATTATTCGTTTATTTTTATGGCCGGTCTGTTACACGGTATAACTTCCGCTGGTGGCCAGTACCTGCGCAGGAAGCAGATATCGTTGCCGTGATCACTGGCTGATAACTCATTGATAACTCAATATAAAGATATCAGTACATACGAACTCAATACAAACCTTTGACTTGTAACTATTTAAATACTTATTTATGTAATACGATTTCAAATTTCTTTCATTAGCATTTCAGCAGGTGTTTTTTCATATAATGATTATTCATTAGAAAGTATTAATTTCTTTTTAATTAAAATTTTAATTGGCTTTCAATTAATAGATAGTAGATGTTCGTGTTTTCGAAGTTATGTTTTTTTATATATCGTTTATATTTGACGACAATTTCTGACACATTATACCGTAATGATAACTTTAGCAGGATACGTCTATTACTACCTCTAGTAACACTGTCATAAAGACTAGGGTTTTGAGTCTTTTGAACGACATTTCACAGTAATCATACGCATTCACACACGATACTATATTTGTTATACTGTTCGCCATATTATTATTTATAGTACGATTCCTTGGAGGAGTTTTGTTTGGAAAAAAATGATTTTTTATTTACTATTTACACATTATGTTTAAACTCAAATAATCTTATAGTTAGTAAATTAAATATATATATGAATTGAATTAAACGTGTGTTATATTAATTCAATTCCAGTAGAGTTATTTCAATCTGTTACAAATCCGAGCGACAAGTATTTCGGAATTGAAATAAAAGGAGCTCGCTGACTGAAATCTGCGACACACGACTCGGATGAAATTTAAAAATACCTGTGACGTCACCACCAAAAACAAAACACGATCGTCAGATAAGACAATGATAACGATGAACCTCACATATAGAGTTACCATCCCATTGAAGTACTCCAAGCCAGTTGAATAGCGCCGCAGATGTGGCGTTTTTTACAATCTTTCCCACAGTACCACTTTTTCTTGTGCCTCACCTAACCAACATAACTTGCACCCCGCGTTGTCTCCATCAAATATTCCCGACTCTATCTCAATGTAATAAGAATGATAATATAATCTATTGATTTACAACAATGCAATAATATGTTGGTAGTTATAGTTTTGTTGAGTTTTTTTTTTGTTAAACGTCTTTCTCCTATCGGATGCGACATCGGAAATTGAGTATTTTTTGTACTTACACCTATGAGACTAAATTGTTTGAAGGAAGTCACACATGTAGCATTGTGAATGTACGGATAATGCCGTTTCCTTTAGGGATCTATTAGATTTACGTAATATAAATCACATTTATTATATTGTAGCTAAATTTCGAGCAAAAAAGTGAAGAAATTTCATATCTAGGTATTTTTGATTAAAGTCTTGAGCGTTATTAGAATCGAATGCAAAACTGAATGAGATCTGTAACAGTGAGTTCACATTCAGTGGTCGTACATTCACCGGCGAGACTTCTCTAAATAAAATATCCTACACGACTAAACTTTGTCCGGCGTTATGTTTGTATTATACTTTATAAATCTCCGAACCGGAGTCCCTCGGTTTGTTCAGGAGCAATAAAACGCGGATCATCCGCGAGGATGTAGGAATCGTTTTAATATATCACTCATATCAATGGATGACGTTCAATTGATTTAAAATAATATTGATTTAGATAAGCGTTAGATTAATAATGAAAAAATAGGTAAAAGTATAAGTAATCGATCGTCAACTAACGAGTGATTAGTGTTAAACGTCTCGTTATAAAATGTAACGAATCACGATAGAATATGGATGAAGGAAGCAACTCGGTACAGAAAGGAAGCATTGCACAATTCGTTGCTCTGGTTCCAAAGCCGCGGGGCTCGGGGCGAGGGGGGGGGGGAGGGGGGTATAAATTGGCCAATTTGTTTATTTGTTTTCATTGGCCTCACTGAACTTGACTCGCCATTATCGCATTCACGGGAGGAAGGCGCGTTATTTATTAGATTATTCCGTGGGACCGACGCTCCGGACCTACTAAAGGATTTATGTTTATTACGATTACGGATAAAACGATGATAGAACGATATGATAGGATGGACGTATCATGACACTACTGGATGAGGAATTGATGTATAAGGACTTGTATACACTAGAAGTTAGAACTTCATCTGGAATACAATCTTTACAATCTTTGAAAACATTATAGTTATTAGGATCTTTGTCAGTCTTTGATTATAAATAATTGAACACTAAGCTTTACAGCACTTAAGCTTTAATTCAAAGATCTACACAAAAATAGGAATGTTATATGATTTTGCAACGATTAGTCCACAGTAACCTAACTCTATATAAGAAAACAATATTAGTTTGTCAAAATTAAAACGAAAAAATATATATACTGCAAAAGAGAGTAACAGTAAAAAGCAATGTGTTCAGTTGATAGGGATATAATCCGAGATGTATAAGATATTTTGTATAAATAGTCCTACAATAACTGTAAAACTGACATATACATATATATGTATATAACAAAAATATTAAACTATGAATGTAAATATTTCTATTCTTTGTAATGTGTTAGTAAATTTACACTAGCGTATTCCTATGACTTTGTCCGTCAACTAACTCATTTCTAATATGAATAATATATATTCTCAAGTAATAATAACATTACTTTGTTTAGTCTGTAGAAGAGATACGCGCGGTAAAACTGACAAATTGTATATGCATTATTAAAATTTCTGATCATTTATATATAATTCAAAATATATATCACTATAAACATAAATATTTCAGTGTTTGTACTTTTGTTTCTTCGTCAAACTTAAATGTTTTTAATATATTCATAACTACAAAAAATAGAATCTAATTGCTAAGACACACTAGACTAAAATAATGGTTACATTATACTAAGAAGTTAAGTTATTTTAATACAACATAGATAAATAATCGTTTTTAGTTAACCTTTTATAATTCTTAATATTCTATATCCTCAAATACAATTTGAGGGTTCAGTAGTGACTTAAGCTTCTAACTCTATCTATATTCATAAAATATTCCTGAGTTTATCATTCGTAGTAATTTACCTAAAACATTTTTACTTTTTGTACTCTCAATGGCTCAATTAAATGAAAATACTAAAATCCAAATGCATGAAAGGTATTGAAGATTAAACTCCACGCTGTTACAAAGATTGATAATTAATGGGAACTACTTTGAAAACTAAATTTGTCGCGAAATAATGTCTGCAACATTATAACATCTTTTAGGAGTCACGCACCAAACGTCGGCGTTATTTACAATCGGAGTACAAATTATCGAGCATCAAGCGCGGTAAACAATAACATATAACCGTGTTACCACCAAACAAGGAACAAGTCACTACGTTGTCCTCTCTACATTTCTACAAACATTACTCCACACATATAATTCTACATTAATTTACTTAGCGAATGGTACCACTCAATGCTTTTAAAAGTTTCGTGTATGATGTACACAGTGTACCGTCAGGAAAGAAAGGTTATCGCGAAAGCTGCACGAGGAAAGCTCCGGCGGAAGTTCCGCGTCACGCTTCACCGCCGGCCTCCTAACAAACACAAACAACGAGAAGCTTCCACAACACAACAGGCACCACACGAGGCCAACTAACACCATACAACAACAACACTAGCTGTACCTTCAGCGGCAGCTTGATCCATCCGCGCCTCCTTACGACCTGCCTCTCGCCGCCTCCGATATAAAAAAAACGACGCGCGCGAAAAATAAACAAAAAGGGATGTAGTTCGCGATCGCGTCGCGCGTGTCCCGGCCGCGGGAGCGCAAGGCGTGCGTGTGTTCGCGTCGAGGGTCGGCGGCGGACTGGCGGCCGGCGGCTGGCGACTGGCGGACGGCGACTGGCGGCGGGCGCAGCTGCCGCGGCGGCCAATGGCGGCCGGTCACGTGACGCCCCGCGCCCGCACACGCTTGTTTACAAATAATAATAATAGGCCCGCGGCCGCTGGCGCCGCGCGACGCTACGCCCGCTACGGCCGCTACGGCCGGCTACGGCGCGCTACGAGCCTCTACGCACAGCTGTCGCTGCATTTGGCGGGATTCGATTCGCCTCAGCTTATATCTCTAGCGCCGGCTCCCGGCGTCGCTCGTCGTATCGATCGTCGTCTTCTCCGCGGTGTTTTTCGGTGGCGGGAGTTCTTTCTAATCGCCGCTTCATTTCCATTTCGTTTCCGCTGCATGTTTATTTTCTATAATCATATTATTGTCAATGTGGGGTCGTGTATGTATGTTTGTTTCGCGACAGGTTGTTGTTTCCGATTGTTCTGAGTTCAGGTCGTAAGGTGTAAGGAGGGTCTGAACCCCAGTGCATAGTTCACGTTCACCTATATACCGCTGGTCCCCTCGCCGGCGTCCCGTGTCCCGTGGTCCAGTGTCTGCAGGCTGATCCCCTTCACCTAGTTCCATCCCCCTCCTCGTTATCTCGTCGATCACCTGTGAAGCTTCATCAATGAACAATAAATGACATCATACTCGAAACACTTTAACATTATTTTTTTTTTCATCTCGGAAATTTCAATTTTTGTCAAAAATAAATTTAATTTAATGGTAAGTTAATATAGAAAATATTTATAATAAACCAGGAACTGTTCGATAAATCATATATCAATATTGAATTTGAATCCAAAATTAAATTAAAATTATATGTAAGCCAAGTCTTATATACAAACAAACAGACATTCATATCATACAACTACAATAAAATTAAAAACATTGTTCATTTAATAATATGTCCAAAATATAATCCAATTTCCTTTCCAATATTACCTTACATCATACATATATGTTTTAACATATATATGTATATAATTATACTATATATTCCACATATAATCGGTAATACAACACCGCATTCAATATTACCAACATAATAATAATCCGTCCAACATTTGTAAAGACATACATAAATTATAGTGCTAATATTATTATACAAAGAACGCACTTAAAATTACGACGTAAAAGCTCAATTTGTGAATCATCAAATTAATTCAGACCTTATTTATATTAGTGATAGAGTTGTTTTTTGTATGTGTTTTTATTTGTATAGTTAAGTTATAGCTGGTAGCCGATCGATATGCGCAGGGACTGCTCCAATGTTGTACTGACTTTAGTAGATTCGATGTAAAAATATTTTATTTACGAACAAACTTATTAACTTAAATATTATTATATATTAGTGTTTCATTATTGGGGGATAGTATGGTAGAATGAGTATTTTAGGTTCAGAAATTGCAAGATTCTTGAAAAAAAAAATTAGTGTGTTCATAATGGTTTTAATTTTATCAGACGTCTTATAAGAGTTAAATATGTTTTGAAGATGTAAAAATAAAATGGGATAGAAATCATGTCAGTCAATTTAATTGAATGATTTTATTATAATTATTACGCAATTATATGTTTGTATGTATATATATGTATGTGTGTGTTGTATATTCAGTGAGTGACGTCATAGCGTCACGGCGCCCGCGCGTGACTCATCAAATTTTCACAAAATTACTCATTTCGCGTCCAACATCACGTTATTATTTCTCATATTTATGAATTAGCACCATCTGTGCCCGCTCATTGATTACATTTTTGTCATGTCCGCCCCCGTTATGGAAACAGAAATTAAATTTATGACCGAATTAAATTATTATATAACATATTTTATTTAAATTATAGAAGCATCAAACATCGTGCGAATAACAAATACATTGTTTACATCGCGAAAGATACGACGCAAATAAAAAACCTAACGGCCGTACATACAAAGAAGTTTTAATATAAACAGAAAAATATGGAACAAACAGGCTGACCTATTGCGACAGTTGCATCATAAACTCGAGCGAGAAATGAAAAAAAAAAAAACTAAAATTAAAAGATTGCAATGCGTGCAAGCATTCTTGCATCGCACCGCGCCAATTTCATTGCTACAAAAGTGCGTAATATCGATTACTGGCTCCCTCACCCCATGCTGCCTCTCGCTCGCACGACGCACGACGCGTCCTCGGAACAATAAAAGCTTATAATCTGTATCAGCGCCAATGTCAACTTTCCGCGGGTAACGGAGCCGCCATTTTGTTTCCTTGGCGGCGTCATAAGTCCTTTTTTCCCGCCAGTCGCGTCCCCCGCGTGGTCGTCATGACAACCGATCTGTCTCACGCACAGAACATAAAACGCAACCATTGATTTTTTCCCCGCTTCCTCTTTTACTTTTACGCGTGTCGAACGACTTTTTGCTTGGATTTTTATTTTTTTTAAAGCGTCAATTTTGGCGCTCGACGTGCGTAAGTGTTGTGACGACTGTAGAATGTAGATGCCACTAATTACGTCACATATTTTGCTACAACAGATTTGTTTTTAATTTTTATGTATTTGCATGAAATAGCAAATATATTTAAAATTTCATACCCTTCTATATTTCTTTAATAGATATATTTTTATCAATATACATAATATTCTGATTGAAACGAAACAAACCAATCCTTCCAGTACTCACTTGACCGTTCTCATATATATGTGAATGAATAAATGTGTATTATCATCAAATGCCCCCCACTTAAGACACTATGTGTTAAGGTAGGCCCGGGACCCCGGGGCTGAGCTGTCCCTTGCCGATTCACCCTCGGCGATCCAACTCAATCGAAGGAAATGCCTTGAAAATTTGTCCCGGATTTTGGAAAAACATTGCCATTTGCCCTATTTCCTTTTAAAGATATTCAGTGAAAATAGAAACTGATTTCGGCAGATGTTCATAGATATATTGTATTTATGAAATTATTTTGTTAATAGGAATAAATTATAGAATTGGGGGCACTAAATATTTTTTTTTAATGATCGCGCGGAGTCTACAGATAAGTAATACATTTTTTAAGTCGCTATATAACGAAATTTATATTATGTTTAAAGTTTTCTAATGTTATATGTATTTTAATATATTTCTAGTAAATACAAAGATTTTTTAAGAAAAAAATTATTCGTCACGCTGTAGTTTGTGATAAAAATTGAATATTAAGAAGCGTTCAAAAACAATGAAATAAATAAAAATAACATATATTTTTATTACATTTATTATATTTCAAAATTGTATTTTTCATAATTTGCATATAAAGTATGAAGCGTGTCAAAAGTATGAAAATATACAAATACTATATAAAACATTTTAAAAATTAATAAACCGAGTGTCTTAAGTCAGAGCCGTTGAAAGAACAGGGAAACTATTATTATCTATGTAAAATGAAAAAGACGATTTATTTAATGAGATACATTATTAACATTGAAAACATTTAGTCAAAATAACTTCAAGAAATAAAACATTTCGGGTCTTATTGTCACACTTATACTATTTCATACATTTTACATTCCAACGTAAACAGTGTTTGGTTAAAGAAAAATATATCAAAAATAAAAACGGGAGATCAAAATACTTCCAATATAAATGTATAGTAATTATAAATAGATTAAAATTGTAAATTATTGTACATATTCTATATTATTATACCGTTCTTAACTTACTTAATAACTGCATTAAATATTATCAATTAATTTCGGATGAAAAATAAAATATTCACAAGCCAAGATCGAAGTTCCATTAACAATATCTCTACTATTTACAAATCGTATAATATTACATATAATACTTGAATTACGTCTTATATTGCTATTATTGTTAATTATATGTTTATAATACTTGCATTTAGGATGCGTTAATATACTAAGGAAATAAACTAAGCTTGTATGTCATGACTGTTTGTAATATTGAGCGAAATAACTTTCAAATTCATTATTCACTCAAAACTTAACATTGTTTACAGCGCCATCTGTTATCGGGGAGCTATATTGTCAAACATCTTACATTAACATCACACGAAAATTGTCAGACAGTTATTTAATATTAATTATTGTTCATGATTGTACATTGGCAGCAGCTCGGGATCCAGAATACGTCGGTGTACAGGTTCTGTCCACTCGACTCCAACGCCACCAAACGTTTCTGTATATACTTTTGTTCGCATCTAGAAGTATAGCCGAGAGGTATGGTGCATAACCCACTGCATTCTGTTGACCTAGAATTGTCGATAATAACATAATAATTATAATCTTTTCATAAAAAGTACGTTATAGTTCATAATATTTTCGAAAGCTATTCAATAACAGATGTCGCTGCCATTAAAATGTTTCATTTAGTAAATCCACACAGATGGCGCTTTTGAGAAAAAAGTTAATGTAACCACAAAAATCCTTTTACTTGTTCCATGACATTTAAAGTTACAAAATATCTTAGGTCATGTGATCCACTAAAATAAATCGATTAAGATTTCTAAAATTTTATTCACTGATTTACGTAAAACCCAAATCCTTAGTAAATATATTAAGTTGTAACCTTTTAAAGTCTATGAAATTGAATACTTTCGAAAATCAAGCATCATTAAGTGACATGATAATTTTTGTTCTTTTATTTCACTATCTTTCAAAAACATACTTAGCTTTTTTGCTTACTTTAATTATTCTGCCAAACATATCTTAATTTTTCTATAATTTATTTTTATATTTCATATTCATTTATCAAAAGCATATTTAACTTTAAATTTGCGCTCAATTTAGATACGTGTTTTCGTGTGGGTGTTCTAAACTGTTTCAACTCACGCGCATATCTCAGCTCGTACTAGTTGCGTCATGTTATCAGGCATGTTGACGACGTAGCGCCAACTGCCCTTGTTGTTGAGAGCGGCTCGAGGATTGATGAACTGTGTCCGGACTCGACACAACTCCTCACCTGATGACGCCTGGCGTCGAGGACGCTCAGCTGATGAGTCTTCACTGGAATTAAGAGAAAACACGTCTTAATATCATAATCAGCCTATCAGAGCCCACTGCTGAGCATAGCCTCTTCTCACATGGAGAAGGTTTGAGCATTAATCACCACGCTTGCTCAAGACGGGTTGGTATCAAACTTATAATTTGAAATTATAAGTCCAGGTTTCCTCACGACGTTTTCCTTCATGTCAGTGGTGTCTAAATCTATCAGTAAGTATATATGACTAGGAAAAAACATTAGTTGCCAGGTTTCGAACCCGCGCCTTAATGCATGAGAGTCGAGCATTTAACGAGGCCACCACGACCAATTCAATTATTCACAAACAAAATATAATCAACTGCAAACATGACCAATTACAATAGACTATGCTCATTAATACATCTATCTAATTAGAAGTAATATCGCTAATTCCTTTTGGAATAAGACGAATTTACGCAAGGGACTAACAGCCAATCCCAGAGCGACTTGAAAACATAAACAATTCATAAAGACTGTCCTCATTATATAGGACATCTTTCTTGTTGGAAATATCAAATAATATATCTAATTCCTTTTGGAATAAGACGAGTCTATACAAGTGTCTTACTTAGCCAGTCCAAGAGCGATCCTCAAAGCCTCCGCCCCGGTCAAAGTCCGTTTCTCCGCAGCCTTAACTAGTTCTGTATTTCGTCTTCGTCTGTCGTGTCGGCTGGTGGTGGTTCGTGTAGGGAAGGTGATTGAACGTTGGATGGACACCTCCGCGTTTGATCGAGACGGTGATATATACCTTGGAAATATATAAGAATTAAGATTACTTCGCTGACATAAAAGAACGTGTTGTATATATTACTTATTTCATTACATTTGGATGCTCTTAATTTATCCTATGTACATATTTACTTTATAATTGTAAGCTTAACGCTATTTATATTCTGATATTTATTGGGAGTTCTTATGATAGTCAACTAACGCCATCTATATATTTGTTATAATAATGTTAATAATATCTCAGTACAATAATTTAAATTACCAAATACTTAACAATTGGTTTTATAATTTATAATAAGAACCTTGGCTTGTTTTACGTAATGTTCAGTGGTTTATTATTTAATAGAAACTCTTATGAGGGGAACCAGGGCGCTAGTATGATATTATAACTTATCCTCACCTAAATGTTACCTTTGAATATTATAAATATGATGTAAGTGTTAAATTGTTGATTTTGTTACTAGTTGTGGAGCATTAAACATCTAAGTAGAAGTACAGCCTAAATTATTTCTAACAGTACTCACTTCCACCATTCGCTGGGATTGTACTGCGTCACGCCGCTAGACGCTCTCAACCAATTCGACTCGTAGTTCTGATACAGCGGGCCGTTGAAGTAATTCGGATTGTAAAGGTTCAGATTCTCGTTTTCTCGAAGCCGTCGGTTCTCATACTGGAACTGGTTTATGGAGGGATCCCAGAAAGTTGGTGATGAATATCCTTGGAAGCCGAACTTGGAATAATTGGCTGCCTGATAGGCTTTGATGTTGTACGGGGTTGGATCTGCGGCAGAGGGAGGCTGGAGGGGCGCTTTCTCAGAAAATATATCTGAAAATCATAGACCATAGAAATATTTAACAAACTTATAGTTAATATTGTCAGGGATATTGCAAAGCCGCGTAACTAACATCGGAAAATTCCACGTATGTACATTGGAAGCAGATTATCAGAAGAAAGTTTAAGCTGAAATATTTTGTATATTAACGACTTTTAATTAAGTAGTAATTATTTTGTATTTATTTTATTTGTAGATACGCGGAATTATCCAATGCTAGTGACACGAATTTGCACTATCCCCTACGACATGCGTTCGTAAATATTTTTAAATAATTTATTTAATATTGAATCATCTTAGTTTCATAAAATCTCTTCTCATTGTCATATTATAAATTAAAGTTTATGTTAATTTGATGATTTAATTTTTTTATTGCTATTCTTATATAGACAGAGTATTGTATTTGTAATGATCTATTGGACAAAATGTACGTAATGCATTGGACTAAAAATTTATTGGATTTACTGCAGCCGATTCTTTAAAATGTAAGGACAAAATACAAACGGTTTTATAGTTTCTGTCTAATAATAATGTTTCTGATATTTATTTCAATATTTGAAATATTATTTAAACCAACACTCTTTTTAATATCCCAATTATGTTTTCACTTCTCTTATAATTTATAACTTTAATTACCGGATGTACAGGGCTGGCATCGTTGGAATATTGTTTAACTATTAATAAAATTTAAAATGACATGTTTACCCTTAAATAATACATATTTAAGGAAATGAAATATTTTATTTTCTTCATGTTCAGTTTCAAATAATAAAGATTTTTAATTTAAGAGAAATAGATATAAATTAAATATAATAAATCTTCATCATAATATAATCTAATAAATTTGTTTTTATCTGTTACCCTAATGATTCTATTATCGTTTAAGTCAACTCAAATGTCTGAACATAATTTCTCTGCTTTCTAATGAGTTACTTATTCGACCTTAGTTTCTATATATATAATTAATAAAATGATTAATGTTTTCTTCTTAGAAATTTGGCCACAGATTGAAATTTAGGGACATCATAATACTGTCATATATATGGAGATGATTTTCAATATTAATGATTATTTCTCAGTATGATTTGTACTTATTAGAACATGTTGAATTATTTTCGAATCTCTTATAACACATTTCTGTGATAAAAATTATAGTTTTCTAGAATTTGATAGAAATTGACAAAGTATCAAAAACATAAAGGTACAATCTATATGTAGTAGACAAATAATTTTCCAAATATTTTTCTATTTATACCTTTTCTTAAGTCTTAAGACTTCGCGAAATATCCAATAAGATTTCAATCGACGTATTCCTTTTAACTATCTTATTGATATCAATACAAAATACTGAAATCTTTTTAACAGTAGATCTATTTGAAAATAAATAAGTAGATTAAAATTAAAATATGTATAACACAAAACAAGAATCTGTGACTAACTTAATATCGCGTTAAAGAATTTACTAAACAAGCCAAAAATCGATTTTGTTTTATAAAATACTAGCTGGGCCCCGCGGTATTACCCGCGGATTTCCGTGATGTAAAGTAGCCTATGTGTTATTCCTGGACGTCAGCTTCCTGTATACAAAATTTTATCAGAATCGGTTCAGCCGTTCGAGCGTGAAGAAGTAACAAACATACACACACACTCACAAACTTTCGGAATTATAATTTTAGTAGGATTAGTGAATACGGAGTTCCTCATACATCAACTCACCTTGGTTGTACTTGTGGTACTTGGTGTTGTAATCTTTGTGTCCTTCGTCGACGAGTGATATCTGGTCGACGTGTGGTAATGAGTTTGGTCCGTATCCGTAAGGGTAAGTCGTCTTTTTATTGTCTTGGAAGTTGTCGCGAGACTCGTCGGACAGCAACGTGCGGATGTCGTACTGACCGGCTTCGACCAGTTTCCTGATCACCTTCCTGGAATAAAGATACGATTATTTTTTAATTATATAATTTAATTCTATGACTCCTTAGTCCTTTATTCATCATTTATCTTTGACTTATTTTGTAGTACCAATCACGATTGTAATCATTCGTTCAGATTCAACAGCACTACAATGATATAACCACAATCATTATTTTACACAAATATATATGTAACACATAGAGAACCATATATAGAATTTATTTAAACCCTTTCTTGTTTTAGCTTAAAGAAATTACTAGCTTGAAGACAAATTCAGTTTTATTATTTTTATATGTGTAGTATAGTGTGATTAAAGCAGTTTTAAAGATGATATGTACATTAACTGTACCATTCTTATTACTATCAATGGTCCATAAAATTGTAGGCCATAGTAATTTGGTTATGTTCCTGTTGTCCATTTATCATAGACCCATCGTTTAATATATAACTTACTCTGGATATGGGTCAGGATGCAGGCAGTATGTAAGACCAGGTTGTGCGCAGGCTGGAGCGCGTCCAGGGGGCGCAGGCTCATATAAACAATTCTGGCCATAGGGACAACTGTATCCCGCGCCTTCCGTGGCAGCCCATAGTATCTAAAACGTGAATAAACAAACAAATTATATATATTCTTTAATTTGAATAGGAGAATATGACTTAAAGCAAAATATAAGCTTGCTATCTACAAGTTAAAGTTATCTACATATAATCGTAATAGCTCTTTTTTGTTTTAACACTCAAATCTTTTTATCGCTTGATTTATAAAATAAAAGAAATCACGGAGTTATTGTTATAAACATGTTTGATAACAATTGTTTATCACGGGCAGACGAGATGTAATCACAGTTGCTGAAAAGTAGCCTAAAAGTCGGGAGTTTGTTTTATACAAAAATCAAGCACGAATAGTATATCCGAATAATATTAGTTTCATTTAAATGAATACTTGCGATAATCTGATTTCATTTATGTTACAGATACGATAGTATCTCATATGAAATCCCGCCAACATGTTACATATGTATGTATAAATTACATATCTTTATGTTAACATTGTTTTATCCTTACTAATATTATAAATGCGAAAGTAACTCTGTCTGTCTGTTACGCTTTCACATCTAAACCACTGAACTGATTTTAATGAAATTTGGTACAGAGTAATTTGACCTTGAAAAAGAACATAGGATAGTTTTTATTCCATATTTTTAAAAAGATCTCTTGGAAACGCGATATAACCGAACTCCACGCGAGCGAAGCCGCGGGTTGAAAGCTAGTATACATATATGTCATTATTATAAGTATATCATCATCGTTCGTCATAATCGGAAGTCGTACATAACTCTGCCGTCAAACGACCGCCCACAGATACACTTACAAATGTCAAAGACACAACTCAGCCGTTCGACGACTTTTATAATATACAAAAACGAAGCATCATTGATAGTTCAAAAATCCTAATAGTAATTATAGTATATTTAAAAAATAATAATTATTTCATTATAAGTAATATTCAAACAAAATAATACGTTTCAGTATTTTTTCCTTCAGTGAAAAAGGTGTTATGTTACATCATATTTTTTAAAAGTAATATTTTAAAAGCGAAGAGTTTGTTTGGTTTTTTTATTAAATCAAATTGTAACTACTCTGATTTTTCATAAATCTTGGATTGTACTGTATAGTCGTCGATAGAAGAAAAACAGTACAAAATAAAAATACTTATAAGATTGAAGCTAAAGTTAGGACTTAGAAGACATATTTCGGAATACAAACCTAGTAATAGGTATGTTACTAATTCTGAATAAAAATTGAGAATACTAAACTATTTTATCTAACAACACCTAGATATTTATATAGTTAAGTTACTATATACAATATATTTTATATTAATACGGGAAAAGAAAACTCGTTACTAAATAATAAAAGAAAAAATCTTTCATTGACCGAATAGTCACTACTCATTCAGTATCAAAACAAGAGACAGAAAAATTTTCCGACATAAGCGTTAACTTAATACAACTGGTTTACTATACAACAATCGTTTATACAAGAAACTTAAGTTTTAGAAAGTATTTACATAATAATGTGGGTAAATAGTCCCATTTGTTTAGATTTGTAAACAAGTAAACACGTTACAGAGATCACTCGAGTATTCTATAGTCGTATTGGATTAGCCGCTTTCATTTGTGTGATGAGAATTCACATATGATTCAACCAGCGGCTGGCTTCATCCTTAGAAATCATAGTTCTCACAACAACTCGAAGAATATAAATGTTTTATATAGAAATTTTGTTTGAAAATCATCTCATGAATGAAAGAGGTAATAAGACCATCCATACTAATATTATAAATGCGAAAGTAACTCTGTCTGTCTGTCTGTTAGGCTTTCACGCCTAAACCACTGAACTGATTTCAATGAAATTTGGTACAGAGATGGAGTTGACCTTGAGAAAGAACATAGGATAGTTTTTATCCTAGACTTTTGAAAGGTTCTCTTGGAAACGCGATATAACCGAACTCCACGAGGGCGAAGCTGCAGGCGGAAAGCTAGTAGGTATCTTATAAGGAGATCTAAGATATTCGGGAGTTTTATTCATTCGAATGAAATTAATATTTTTCGAATTATACTACGCGACTTTATTTTTTATAAAACTACATACTCCCGACGTTTCGGTTACTTTTCAGTGACCGTGATCACGGGCAGACGAGATGTGAATGTCTGTCAGTTGGTCTTGTTATTTATCTACGGCTTCCTATTTCTTAATTTTCTGGCGTACTCCTCTAGATATTCTGAATTACATGTTCATGATTTTATACGCGAACCTATTTTCTATTACTTTCCAATAAGATAACTTCAAATAAATCTCATTTAGAATCAAAAATCTTAATGACGAAAGTTATAGTGTTAAGCAAAACTTTATCTAATATGTGGGTATATCATTACGATTTTGATTCAAACCATTCATTCGTTCAATAATTGACATCATTTAACAACAATGGGTGATATATTCCGTCATTAGCGTGTCATTAAAATTGAACCAGATGTCAGATATGAATGGAAATGTCATTCAGGTGTCAAGAACTCGGAGGCGTTTAAAAGAGTGTTAAAGTGTCAGGTGGAATTACATATTAATTGAAGCTATTTATTTCGGCTCAGTTTGAGCTATTATAAATCAATTTAATTTTTTATACAGCTCATAATAATTGAGCATATTTATATCTATATTTGGAGTTTTTGAGGACAATATTTTTCATTAATGAGGATAGTTTTTGTTTCAAATACCTAAATATATATTTGAAGTCGTATTTATCTTAGTGAGACGCTTTCATAAGTTCAAGTTTGAGCCTTGACAAACAGATAAACCATTCTTGAACGGATTTCGTAATTTTAAAGGATACAAATATATTGTAAGCAATTTAATAAATAAAACTTCAGATAAAATTTATTTGTAATATCCTTAAAACGTAAAAAATCTTTCAAATATTCAATAACTCCTCATTTCCGAAAACTTCAATTATTTCACTATGTTCCTTAAATAGTTTTGATAGTTGTAAAAAAGTACAATACTATGTATATACTTATTATAAAAATAAGTAAAACACTATTTGATGCAACCAAATCCCCTATTTTTTTTAAGTTATCGGCTTTACACCGCTAAGGATCTAACTCTACGGTCTTTGTTTAAATATTATAATAATTACATATTAAAGCTCAAATAGAAATTAGAAAGATATATATTATATACACACAATCATACTTTACATATAACTGTTGATTAAAAAGTTAATCAAGTGCTTAGACAATTTCTATAGTAAAAATTTAAAGTAAAATTCATATTAAAGTTAAATTTCTACAGCTATTCAAAAATGTATAGGTATTTTATTTTATATGTAAAGTCATAAGCGATAAGTTTATTTCACTATTCTGTCTCGGTAATAGTTGCACAAGAGCACAGGTCAAACTGCTTGCCCTGTGACTAAAACGAAATGCGGTAACTTTAAGGACAAGACATCCACACTTTAAAATACAATGTTAGAACGAAGCGACTTCCCCTTAAATCAATTACAGTTAAAGTTAGTTTAAAAACTGTTTAATACCTAAGTAATGCGTAACTTTTAAATGAAACAGCTATTGTTTAACGTACACTTCTAATTTACATAACAACGTTCATATTTTCCTTATGGAATTATATTCAAATACTAAGAAATGTTGCAAGAACAATATTCTTTGTTCTGTTCAGTATTTGATGTATGGAATATAGAAGTATGTAGAAACTTTTTAAATTAATAACATATGTATAAATGTTAAATTAATATTATGTTTTTTTTTTATAAATTTATTTTGAACATAATCTGTAGTGCATTTATAATCTGTGAATAAAGTTAAAGTTTCCTTTTTTTTTCTTGGCAACCGAAATAGTAATGCCAACATTGCCATAAGAAAAAAATAGTTACGTGCCGTTCGGAAGCTGCAGATACTAATATATTATGAGAAAAAAATATATTCCATAGTTACGTGTGTGCATTGTGTTGTAATAGAGCGTAACTAACATACATACGTAAATACTATGAGAAACACGGGCTATGGAAAGAAATATGGATGTGTTTATTAATTTTGACATTATATTTACAATTTGCGACTAAAATTGAGAGGCTGAATTCTTTATACCTTCGCCTGGGTCTCTTTAAATATATTTTTATTAAATCCTGGTCACTCATAAGTCTTTTTGCACATGTCTTCACTAAGTGCACAGCAGTGTGGAAACGTTTGATTTAAATGTGACAGTAGTAATTCATACATGTCTGAATCTCTATGATTATACATAAAAAACCTTTCGAGGAGTCAATTAATACCGTACTTTTATAAGAAAACAAAATTTTTGTTGGAAATACCTCAATATTGGTCTAAATATTTTAGAATTTTAGGATACTTCAACACTCAATAATTAAAGGATATCAGATTATTCCAAGGATACATTTTACAATTTGGTATCACGATAAATGGACTCTGCTAGGAGGTGAAGAGACATGTTCGTGTTTTGATCTCAATACAGTTCACTAGATTGATAATCCCTTATAGCTTATTAGGCATTAACAGCAATTTGATAAGACGAGCAGATTCTATACAATAGCAGTCACGAGTCCAGGCATTTAGACCAGCGAATATGCCTAGTATATCAATATTTTGAAGCTAAACTTACTTACTCTAAGAAGATTCAAAACATTTTGAGTCTTCCTTACAAGTTGTTTTATAAAGTAAGTACATATGTAGAAAGCGGATTAAAAATTGAGGATAACGCACTAACCGAGTAACATCAAGATAAAATCTATATCTGGGATGAATACTAAGTGTCATCATTTGAAAGTTGCTTAACAAAAACATGAACACTTTTATATTGGGTAGGTTTACTGAGATTTTACTTACATATATATTTTACTAACAAAATTTAAGTACTATTTATACTTATATAAACATAAGTAATATTTTTGCTATTAAAATATTAAATTTAAATTGTTTTCAACGTAATATTTGCATAATATTGTGTAATCTTAAACATATTTGGCGCAAGTTTTTCAATGTTAAAGCAAGACAATGAGTTC